AAATACGTTGCAGTGAGTTCAGTTGATAGCAGTGTAAACACAGGTACAAAGTTGCAAAAGTGATTTACATTTTGGCACACAGAATCAAACAGCAGAGTTTTCTGTTAAATATTGATTGGGTGAATAATTTCAACAATGACCCACTTTTCTCTCTTTTTCAAATTTCTTCTCTGAATGTCTTTGACTTAGACGGTGAGGGAACAAAGACGTAAAGAAGGGTAGAGGACGAAAGCATGAAAAGAAAGAGGTTATAAGCAAGAAAGGCTATGTATACTTATATATATATATGTGTCTATATATATATTTATATATATATATATATATAAATATATATATATATATATATATAAATAAAAAGAATAAGATCAGTTCTCGCTACAAAGGGCCAAGGTCTGGAGTTTCACAGTCTTTCATGTCCAACAGAGGCAGAAACAGAGCCGACTGACTGACTGTCCCTCTGCTGTGATGACGCCTGCCGCTCAGAGCTGCAGGAGCAGAGGGAGGGGCAGAGTCCACCCTGTGATGTTTACTGTGTGTGTACGTGTTTGCTTGTGATACATGTGGCACTGCTTAATACTCCAAAGAATTGGGCTCGGTTTGGTCTCAGGTTTCCAGTCGTGTTAGCCTCAGAGCAGCAGGGATTCCACAGCGTGTGGCCAGAATTCCCCCCTCCTGTGGAACTCTTATCTGGTCGTCAGCTGGCCTGGTTGATTCATGTGTGACATCAGTGTGTTAAAGTCTCTCTTGACAGTCATGTGCACCTCTGCCTCTCTTATTTACATTCTTTTAAAATGGAGATTCTACATTTCTGTCGTAGCCAGATGTTGATCGGGAGTGTTTTTCATGGGTTGGACTACAGTAGCTCGGCTTGTGCTTTGGTCGAACCTGGACAAAAGAACTGACTGCATCCCTACTTCTGCTGAATGCTGATGACCTGCAGAGATGTTTGAAGAAATCAAATCTTGTTTTCCCCTCATTATGCCCTAATCATCAAATATAGTTTTCCTCTTTTTTAGCAAATGTGACCACACAGTAAAGCAAACTAACTGAAGGGTGGAATGGGATTATTAATAAAGGATGATGCGAAAATAATAACAGTGGCTACAGTTGCTAATAAGTAAATAATTAGTAAAGTAAACCAGTAGGCTGAAAGGCACAGAAGACCTTTAAGATTCATGATCAAAGATTTCTTTTCATGTCCAACTCAAAAAACACAGATAGGATTTTTTCTTTATTTTCTTGAGCATGATTACAGTGAGTGATCTCTTTGAACTTGTTTTGGCAGTGTCATAAATTACCAGCAATTCATATATTTTGTCATATATATTATGTGTATATGTATAGTATACCTGACTTATTCAGTAGTTCTCTGCTTTTCTGTAAAAATACACAATCTTTTGCAACTTATAGGAAAACAAGTCAAAAAGTTCTAAGGCAGAATATTCCAATTTCAAAAGCTGTGTCTCTCTTCAGTGACTAAGACATGTCCAGACGCTTCTCAAGGTCGTCTCCAACAGATTTAAGCCTCATTATTGTTTCTTTGATAAGGCTGTGTTACTTTTTATAACCATCAAAAATAAAAATATTGAAATTAGAGCAAATCATAATGGTAACAACAAATGAAGTTTTGGTCCAGCTCCATTTAATCCAATAAATGTCTTAGATGAGACAAAGAAAATTGCACAAAAAGGGAATTCTCTGATTAAATAAAACACTTTAAAAACTGCATGTGAATTGGGAATTTGTTGAAGAATAATATATTTCTATGAATAAGAGATTAAAAAGGTCTTAGAACTTGTTGATTTACCCCTTAAATTAAAACTATATTAAAGACCATTTGGTCTAATGACCAAGTTTTACTCGCCATCTGTTTAGCTGACCTTTTACTGCTACAGTATCAAGTGTGTGCAGAAGTCTTAAAAAAAGCAAAAGCAAAAAAAATTTTTTTTTAAAGTTTTGAAAGAGTTTCTCAACAAAGAGATGTCAATAATTGGGTAAAAAAAAGTGGGCAATCAATGTCGAAATTGAATGAACACTTTAAGATGTGTTCAAAATCTTGCAAAACCATGACATAAGTTACCTTTCTTTGAAATGCCAAAAAAGTGAGGACCAATTTAACTCCTGTGATTCTGACCTAAAATAAAGTTGTTTTTTTTTTTACTTTTTTTGTTATAGGTTTATATAAACCAGATCTCTTGGCCATTGGGAGGACATTCCAAGGGCTCAAATTTGTTTAAGGTATGTGAAAAAGAATTTTTTTTCTACTGCGTCTCAAGACTTGTGCACACCCCTGCATATTAGTATCCTGCACGTTTGAGTCGGTCTGTGTTTGTCCGTGTGTTTGTGTCAGTGTGATATTCTGAAAAACCTCTGGTAGCAGCGTCACCATCCAGACGCCACCTCCCTGCCTCCTTCTCCGCTCTCTCAGCCAGCTGTCACTGCACAGACGAGATCTGAACAGAACAATGCCAGAGCGACAGGGTCCATTCTCTGAGCTGGAGCTTGGTGGAAAAGGGCAGCCTTCAGCTGCAGAGCTGATGAAGGGTTTTTTCTGAAAGCCAAAATCTGAAGCCAGGCTCCATCATCTCAGGTCTATGTCTCAGTAGATCTGATTTCTTTTTGTTTTGTTTTTGTTTTGTTTTTTCAGGAAATAATTTAACATCCCACCTGTTCAGCCATGTCTTGGGCAGATGAGTAGGGGTTTGTAGGTAAACCTGCTGTATGCTTTCTTCCCAAGATACTTCACTGTTTTATCCTCAGTCCTTCATATTGCTTCTCAGGTTTTCTTCGTGCAGTATGAGCCAGTCCCTTTTTTCCATTTCATCATCTGCGCTGCTCGGATATTGTATCATTATGGAGAAGGTATTATCTTTGAGACCATAATCTAACCACAGACACCCCAGCTCTGTGTGACACTTACAGACGTCACCGTCTTGGGTGTGATCCTCCTGACGACAAAGGTCTGTTCAGTGATTCGCTGATCAGTGAACTCGGTGTGAAATGAGGACAATTCAGACACGGTGTCACTGTCCAACCATATTCACCACTACACCAACGTGCTTGTACTTCTTCACACAAATACACACAAAGATCTCCACCTCATTGGAGTCGGTGTCTTGTCACTTGTTTGGCCACTCCACATGCATCCTTTTTCTTCCTCCTTGTCGTCCTCTCCTTCACACAGTGACCTCTGTCTTGCTGTTGGTCACAAAATAGGGCTGTGTGGGGAGGAAGTGTTGACTGTGGCTGTGGCCTCTGCTGCTGTGAAGCTGGTTCGGCTCTAGCACGGTACACTGAGGTCTCTTGTGACTGTAGGTCTTCCTACGACCCACCGTCTCAGTCCCGTCCCAGCCCTTTAGCCCCAAACCCATACCGTGCCCTGTTGCAATTGTGTTAGAGTTGTATGCCAGTGGGCGGCCCATTGTAGCTGAAATGGAACCAATGGTGGTTTCAGCGGCTCTGGAAATTCCCAGGGACATTCCTCCTGGCATAGTCCCTGCGAGGTGTGACAGAGAGGTGACCCCCAGACCCGCCGGCTTGCTACTGTGACTGTGAGCATGTGGGTGAGAGCTGTGAGAGCTGTAGGCAGCGTGGCCGTAGCCGCCTTTGTTTTTCTGCCCGTTGGGCTTCAGTCCCCCAACTCCAGCTGCTATGTGTCGCTCTGTCGGAAGCGTGGACACAGAGGTGATTCTGGGCATCTCTGTGACGTACGTGGCCACTGGCTCTGGAGTCAGGGGACCCAGAGAGGTCATGGGTGTCATGGAGGTCATGGGGGTCATGGATGTCATGGGGGTCACGTAGAAAGAAACAGCGATGGTGTGGTTCATGGGATTGGAGGTCAGGTGATTTGAAGCCATGGGGTTGTTGGTCATCGGAGGAGTCATTGACGTCATGTTTCCCAACGAGGTTTTGGAGTTGCCCATTGGCTGAAGAGGAAGTCCACCCTTTGTTGGCAGCTCCACCATCAGCCGACGCTTGTTGTAGAGTTCACCATTGTACTTGGCAGCTGAGAGAAAAGGCAGAAAAGTAAAACTACTGAAATATGAGCAGGACAAGTTGGAGCGCAGCTGAGTCAATTATTAAAAATCTATTTTTTCCTTTTTTTTTTCTTCAAGTTTTGCTTCTTGCTCCTGTTTTAACTGTTACTCATAAAAAACACCACAGTATCCTCAGCATGTCTGTTTTTTGGGGCGAGATAATGTGAAACAGAGAGAAAATATAACTGTTTATAGAGTGACTCATAAAATAGGTCTTGCAGCATTTGGTAGATCAGTTACAAACCTCTACTTGCCTGTTTGTAGACGTCTGAAACAGACACAAGTGCATAATACAGTACGACAGACTACAGGTCTTTATGTTCAAGCAGTCTGCACTGGTCAAGCCCCACGTTAAAATACATAAAAACATTTTTAAAAATTCCTGTGTATTTTTTTTTTTTCGTAGAAAGAAACAAAGAGGGGATCTGGATAAATAAATCTCACAGACTGATCAGAGCTGGATTCAAACCATGAACCTTCTTGAAGTATACCGCCGACTTCACACCCTGCAGTGCAGCCATCCATCCACAGGTATTTATTGCTTTATTTAAATGGAGTACTGTGTGAGCTCCTCCAGACTCATCACAGATGGTGTCGCTGCTTCACTTTCATTCCTGTCCTGTCCGTCCATGTCTCTGAGCTATAATCTCCACGCTGACTGCTACAGTGTGACCTCTCCCCTGTCCACTCCCTGCTCCTCAGCCCTGTAGTGGTCGGCAAAGATAAACTTAACACAGTCTGTGGGTTTGCTTTACCACCGTACGTATATATGTCGTTTATCACTCTTTAAACAGAAGGAGTGAGTGAGTGAAGAGGTAGCAGAGAAGGGGGCAGTGGGTGCTGGGGGGAGAGCAGTGTCTCACCCGCTGAGTTGCAGCGTGACTGCCTCTGGGGATCAAACCTGTTCAGGCGACAGGTGAATCAATCTGGTGGCAGTCGGCTCAAACAGTGCACACATCCAGCAGTGTACGTGAGTGGAAATGGAAAAGACTGCTGCTTCGCAGTATGGGCTCAGCATTGCCTCTGCCTGAGAAAGGCCAGCACCCCGCGGAGACTAACACACGTTACACATCCAGAAAGAAGGAAATCAAGCACTGCTTTTCACTCAAGTCCCTGCAGCATCAGTGATATAAAGTGTTTTCAGAGCCAGAACAGTATATTAGTGTGCTTTTATAGGGCAATCAAAATGTCTACCTCCAATGTGACGGAGGGCGTTTCACTCCTCTCAGAGCCGTTGAAATTAATTTTTTGGGAGGTATTAATGACTAGATTTATTCCTGGGAGGGCTCTGTGGTCGGATCAATCACTGTTGGACAGCAATTATCGCCGAAAAAACATTAATTACGTTGGGTTTCAACGGAGTCTTACTGTCTTAATGCCTGTTGTCAGGTAATCTCTTTAGCAGTGAACGATCGTATTCTCCAACAGGGACATAGAGACATTCAGTGTTGGCAGAGGACTGGAGATGTAATCAGAGACTGGTCTCTGTGGCCTGGTCTCAGGTCCAATCAGTGGAAATAAAGAAATAGTGGTTCAGCTATTGGCAAAGGTAAAACTCACAATGGACTTTAAGAGGTTCAGTTGAAAACAGTTTGAGGATTAGTAAAACTCCAAGGAAGTGTGTCATGTTGCCAACTTTGGTCATTAGGATTTGTAACACCTGAGTTTTTAAGGGACCAAGTAGTTCGTTCTACAAATGCCTGTTGGCACATTAGAAATACTGACTGAACCGCCACGGTGTTCAGTCAAATATCACAGTGGACTAGATCTTAGACCAGGTGCCTCTGAGGCCACAATGGGTACTAAAATCTGATGGGGTGGGGGTCGGGGGGTCAGGAGCAGATAGATGGAAAAATATAAATATAAATAAAAGAGGTCATCACTCTAGTTTGGTTTGTTCGTAGCTGCAGTTGGAAATGCAGTGACCAAGCAGTGTAATTGGTGGTTGGCTCCTCAGGCCTCAGATCCAGGTCTGTGTCCAGGGACTTCTATTAGTTGGTTTTAGCTTTGGTTCCAGTTAGAATTCGATAAAGTGACCTTACATAGATGCACAGAGGGGACGGTGGAGATGGTTATTGATTGACAGAAGTGTGGCTCATCGGCTGGACAGTAGACCACTGGGAAAGAGGCAAAGGCAATTAGAGAGAGAGGGAGAGAGAAGGATGTTGAAAGTGGTGTTGATCTAAGACTTGGTTCATTTTCTCCTGGGGTTCAACGGACAGTGAAAACAGCAAAAGGACCTCAAAAAAAGTAAAGTCCATTTATGTTCCTCAAGATTAACAGCGCTCACAAGGAGGTGACTTCAAAAGGAGACACCGCTGGCATTTTGCTTGTGTGCTGTCTTTCATTCCCGGCTCGCCATGTCTGCCCTCCTTTTCTCACTCTCCCTCTTTCTCTCCTGCTTTCTCGCTTCAATGGCCACAGTTTTTCCCCCACAGCTCATGAGTGACAATCCTATCAATGGAGCCACAGTAAAGGCACTTTGCCTCCTGGAATTCCAGGCTTCAGTGCTGTATGTCTGCAGACAGATTTCCAATCATTGCACGGATGCCTGTTTGAATACCACTCGTGGAGGGGAAATCTGTCAGTCAAGTGAGAGCCAGTGGAGGGGCAGAGCAAGGCTGCAATTACAGAAATGGAATCAGATATGAGTTCCTCTGTATGTGAAGATGGAGATTAGTGCTGCGATTCTCCAAAAGGTGATGGATTCTTTTGTGAGTGTGTGTGCGTTGGGGGAGGACTTTCAAAGGTGACAATACAGGATAAAGAATTGACAGGAGAAGCAGGGAGGAACGGAGCAGATGGTGGGGGAGAGGAGGACCAGGGGAAGGAGGAACTGGAAGGAGAAAGAATGGAGAGAAAAAAAAGATTAGATATGGAGGAGAGGAAAAGGGTTCCAGGAGAAGGGGAGGAAGGAGGTGTGATGAAGAATCGGAGAAGATGAAATCAGCTGAAATGCAAGAGGAAAAGGAAATGTAATGACTGACAGGTGCTAAAAGGCTGAGCTGTAATTTTTGCCTCTCCGTAGATGTAGCCAGATAATAACAAACAGAATGGCCTCACGGTAAATGAACCATCATGTGGCTCTGGTTGAACATGAACATGGAAGTTGGAATTCTACTTCTAAAAGAGTGTTAGTGAATTTAAATTTTTTTTTTAAAATACATTTTAGAATAGTTTTTATTTATATATTATTATTCAAAGTATGTGACCAGAAATGAAAAAATATATACACAAATCTCCTGGGGGGTAATTCTGAGTTAGTTATGAATTAGAAATTAAAAATATTTAGCGCCCTTTCTCTGCAGTGGGACTTACTTTAAGTCAATTGTAATGGTAATACTGAGCGAACTAAAAACACTATATCAGGTACAGTTCGGTGTATTATGTGAATTTCATTCATGGCTGCTTTAAAATATTTTCCAGTTTAAATACAGGAGGCTGGAGTCCTGAGGCTGCAGACTGATGTGCTGAGGCTCCTGTAGGTGGAGAAATTGGCATCTCTGCTTCGCCCGTGATGGATTCCTTCACTCTCAGCAGAATATCAGTCAAAAAACTGTTGAGCTGAGAGAAAAATCTATGTCTTTTAGATTCTGAGACAATAAAATCAAGATGTCTTTCTTTGGCGGCATGGAAGGCTAAATAATATTCTGAGTGCTGAAGACACCGTGGGACTGTCTGGGGTTTATGTACATTTGAAAAAAGAAACACAGTCTGTGATTATTGTATTCATAATGAAAATTACACCAGCAAACATTCGGCGTGACAGTGTTAATCACTGTTTTCGTACCTGTTTGCAGCTCCTGACGGTTGTCCGCGTATCACTTAGTTCTTATTCATTTCCACCTGTTTTCAATATTTACTGACAGTTTCATATAAATTGCTGGTGTAATTAGGCAGGATCCCGGTGTGTACAGAGCACCAATCAGAACTCGGCATAAACAAGAACAAGCGCTTAAAGCAGCAGATGCAGCAATGAGAGAGACAGGGTTTTTGTGCAGTATGTTATTGATGTGAAAGGAAAAAAAATAGACGTGAATCAGTCAGAGATGCAGTTGTTTTGTGAACTATGTTGAATATTCTAACTTGACCACTAGGGTCTGTAATTTGTATTTTCTGTTTTTTTATATAGTTTCTTGCTAAATCTGACTGTTGATGTTGATCTATTTAGAGGAAAACATATTAGATTCATAGCTGGCCAGATTTAAATTGACATTTTTACAGGTTTAACATTTCTGAGCCGTTGTAAGTCTTCCATTAAACGCCCACTGGGCCATTCATTCTCCTCACTTGGTGTCAGGTGACACGTGAGAATCTCCTGTGGTGTAAAACCATAAACTTTAGAAGGACTGAAATGCAACCCTTTTTTAGATTGAAAATAAAAGTCTCATCCCTTCCTTCCATTCGTCGCCTGTAACACGGGCTTTATATCCCACCCTTCATCCTTGTTTGATGAAGACCACCAGGTTACGCCCACCACTAGATTGAATCCATGAACATAACAGTCATTTCTTTTATTTGCTAGAATGAAGTAAACAATAACCCTAACCCTAGGATAAGAATCAAAACGGTGTGTATAAATATTATGACAACGTACGTATATCGCATGGAGGTTGTACGAGTATTTGCTGGAAACGCTCCACCTAAGCTGGGACTGACCTTCAAACACAAGCTCTGACTGATGATTCCAAATGTGGACAAATAACGTTGTCATAGTAGTCGTTGTTGCTGCTCGTACTGATATCACCATGCAGGAGTAGATGATATCTGGCTGCTACACCAACAAGCTGACGACACACACACACAGGCAGAAATTCACAGTCAGTCTGATGTTTTTAATTCGGGTTATGGAATAGCGATGCCGCTGCCAATGACATATGTGCAGGGCGAGGAAAAATCCGAGAGCAGCTGCACCGACGAATGACCCGAGTGAATGTGTAGACGTACATCAAGCTGCCACACAGCTTGATGATCAGGCTGTGACTGTTTTTACAGACAGGGTCCAGTTTGGTGATCAACAACAGCTGTCACATCAGCCACTGTCTCCGCAGTAGCTCAGCATCGCCACCATGGAAAAACAAAGGTGTTGTTTCAGCATGGATCATAAAATCTTCAGGGAGTGTTGATTAATTATTTAGACTTGGGGACAAGTAAGTGAAACAAGTTGGGAGCTGTTAAAAAAGTTTCTTTGTTTTGTTATACTACACTTGTTATAGACAAACTTACAGTCAAAAGAAGTCTTTCAGGACGTTACTGTGTAATATCTGTGGGTTTTTTTTTTTCTTGCTATCTCTAAGCATTATGGCTATCTCGTTGCAGAGTCTACATGTCTGTGTCTTTACACTTCGTTGACCAAATCCGGTCTGTACTGCAATTTTTCCTCTATCTAGAACCTGAAAATGATATTTTTCTATTTGTCGTACACCGACACTGAGGCATTAAGAAATCCAACTCTGTAATTAAATTCATTGTAACCTAATTAAAGAATATGTTCTAAACCCGGGACTTGAATTCCTGGACCAGCTGTGGATCCATCTGACTGTGTTTGCAGACAAGAATGGGAAAACCCCAGCGCTCCACCCTCCACTGCGTTTGTCACAGTCGGAGTCCAGACTCAACTGGCAGCATCAGTCTGTGGTTCTTGTTGTAACCAGTCTCACATTTAGGAACATACACAGAGTTTCGCTGCGACTCTGGAAATGTTCCCTGTTCTTCTTCAACCAAAACCTGTAAAAAAAATCCCTAAAACCTTGACAGTCACTCACCCACAGCCTTCAGCGAGGCGTACTTGTTGAAATCCTTATTCTGAAGCTGCTGTTGCTGCTGCTGATTCAGCTGCTGCTGCTGCTGCTGCTGCTGATGTTGCTGTTGTTGATGCTGTTGTTGATGGTGCGTTTGTTGCTGCTGCTGCTGCTGCTGCTGCTGCTGCTGTGGTGGCTCATAGACCCGGGACAGCTGGCTGAGGGCCGGGTAAGGGTGTTGCTGACCCATGTTTGAGCCCCCTCCAACGTTATTGTTGATCTGAGCAGCCTCTGTGGACAAGGACACAGGAAAGGACAGGGTTAAAATTAGGACGATTATTGATTAGCATTTCCTTTCACTTGTCATCGTGAGCCCTTTCTTTTTTCCGTATCCTGTGCCAAAGTGATGATGTCCAGAGCATCCATCTGAGTAATTACCATGCACTATCGTTTACAGCTGCTCTTTATTGGAAGTCATGCTCCACAATATACATTTGGACCAGAACCAGGCAGTAACTGTCCAGGCTGATCAGCTGCATCTGCTGACCATCACGCAGCACTGTGCTGTATGAGAAAAAGAGTTCCCGGTTTGTCTCCTCTGTCTGAGAGTCAGGATGTGAGAAGTGTCCATGTCATAAAGTCACTTCTTAAAGGGAATAAATCCATATTTTCTCCCTGCTCCCTGCATACACTTTGGACATTTCTGCCCATCAGGGTAAAAAGGGCAAAAGAGTTTTTTTTATACTTGAGATAACTGTATATGTAGACAATGTCACTGTTGCTTTTTGCTTTTTTGTCCTAATTTGATCTTTGGTCTATTGTTTAAGAAAGTTTAGCTTTTAGTTAACTTAACTTTTGTTTTTGCCTTTTCTGGCTAAGCTAACTGCTGGGTATATTTAATTAATGTTATTAGTGCCACATTTTAGCCATATTGGACATTTTCACTTATTAATGAGAATTTTTGCTTTAAACTGGCAAGTTTCTTTTTTGTTAATTTTTTTCGTTTAATTTTTAATTAATTTTTTATCTTTTTGCAAATTATCCAGGTCATCCTGTATTCTGGAATAATTTAACTGCTCCACCAACTTGCAGTTATATTTCAACTTATTTGCATGCAGTAAATCTCTCAGTTGCACAGAAACCAACCATCTAATCTGTAGTTCTACGATGTCTTCAGTTCCCAGGAACATACTTTTCATCCCAACATCTCACAGTGTTGTAACAGACTAAATCTTACAGGTGGGAATGAAGGGAGGGTCCCATCAGAGAGGGCGGCAACGCCAACAACGCAGTCTGACTATTGAAAACCTACGGTTGAGTGAAGGGAATTCTCTCCAGCACTCAGAGTCTGACAGATAATGGCAAAACTCAGTGTGTACAACGGTACCTGTGCTCTGTGAGTACAGTCTGTTGAAAGGCTCCAGAAATCTGCCACTTGATAGTTTGAATAAGGAAGAACTCAGGAGATGGAGCAGAAGAAAGAGCAGTGAAGTGGTTAGAAGTGTGAGCATTCAGGAACAAGTGTTTGCAGGAAGGAGGGTGAGCAGCACACCGTTACAAATCCATTTTTTAAAAGGCAAATTAAGATACAGTCAAAAGCTGTTTCTCTCAGCCGTCATGAATTGTGAATATTTTTAACTAAGGAATTCTCTTGACCATTTCCAGTTGTTTTAACTATTTTGTATTAACTTTAGCTCATAAACTCTTAGCTGTTGATGAAGTTTTTGATGTTTCTTTAACTGCTTTTTAACTGCTCTCTAGCCAACCTGAATATTTATATTTTTTGAAAAACTATTGGTACCTTTGACTACGTTGTTTGTCATGTTTTAACCACTAACTTCATATTCTTTTGTCACCCTATCTTTGCCTCATTTTAAACATTTTTTGGATAAAAATCCAACTAGAATCTAGCCTCTAGTTTCTGCTCTTGCTAACCTTATTGAATGTTCTGGTTATCGCCTGGTTATCTAGTCATCCCTTCAAAATGTCATCATCTTCTACAGCGAAGAATGAAGTTGTGTGTGAGTTATAGAAGCTGCTGGATATTTTTAACTCAGAGTTCTGCATAAGTTAAGGGCAAATTGAAATGTTCCAAGGCCATTATTTCCCTGAGCTCCTGCTAATTTCTGACTCTGGTCAAACCTCAGCGGTGCATTGCTGAGCTGTGAGAAGTATTCAACAGCTTCACTGTCGAGGCAAAGTAAGTTGTGTTGCTGCTAATTAATCACTCAAGCCCTGGCACTGACTCAAACCACACACACACACACACACACACACAGACACACTGACAGGGCAGACAGAGAGGAGACAATTAAAGTGAGCATCTCGGTGGGAAACAGTGTGAGGTCGTGTCAGAGGATGAAAATGAGGCGTGATGAAACCTTCAATGACGTTGAGGTGAAAGAAAAAAAAAAGGCTCCAGTCGGAGGTCAGATATTAAATAATGAACATTTGGAGCTTTGATTTTATTTTTTTTTTATTGACCTTAAATACATCCAGCCTTTCCTCCATACGACCTTTTTTTGATCATTCGTCAAGATTACTAAAACATTTGGACGACGCCAGAGGCAAAGTGTGGGGTGGGATTCTGTCGGAGTCACTTTACTGTAAAAACTGCATGTACTTTTTCACATTTATTTTATGAAAATGCAATATTTATACATAGACTTTTGTTTTGTATAAAATATTTGAAATGGGAAGAAAATGGACATGTCCCTGTGGGTCTGTTTGATCTATTTTTGGCTACATTTTTTCTCAAATTTTTCTCACAAATAGTTCATAAGCTTTTGAGCTGTTAGAGGGTTCAGTCTGTAGCTTTTTTGCTCATATTCCTAAGCATGTCTCTTTTGAAATAATATTCACATCATCGCAGTTTAAAGCGGTTTAAAATCAACAGTCACCTTTTTCTTTGGGATTAGCATGTGTGAAAGTTAGAGCTGAAGTAATTAAGTAAAACAAACAAAAAAAAAAAACTCCTCCTCATTAAAGGACCAGTCGTGCTTTTTTTTTCTGTCAAAGCCAGGCATTCATTACCAAGAGTGTGACATAGATGAACAAAATCAATGAGTCTCTTCACTCTGGAAGGAAATACTGTGTTTATGAAGAGGGGCCGCACTTCTTTTTTATGTCAGTCGTAAAATTTTGAAAGGCCGGCCCGGAGGTGTTGTTGAGAGGAAGAGGCGTTTTGTCAAAGTTCCACGCAGCCTGATGTGTTTTAGAGCCCAGTGGAAGTCTGGCAGATGGTGTGATTTTACGACGTGCCCGTGGATGTACAGAGCACATCCCATAATGGTCAGTAACTGTTTGGGAGCATGTGTCGAGATGGAATCGATGGCAGAGCGATCCATCCTCTGATCAATAACTGACTTTTAAATGAAAAGGCCGGAGACGGACGATGGAGATTCTGAAATGTGGCATCACTGTCCTGTGTCTCTGTTCACTGATTCACTGATGCAGATCTGTAGTGAGGTGCTGTGGGTTTTATTACCCACAGTCTAAACAGAGGCGGAGTTAAAGTGAAACTGATCTGTGATCTGCGCTCTCCACGCTGTTGTAAATATTTATTGTTGACTGAGGAAATGGACCTTCAAGTCACTGTACTATAATCCTTTAAGAGGATTTCACTCACTGATGGGCCAAATATGCAGACAAGTCTATTTATTTCTCTGACTGAGGCTGGATGTAGAGAGATGAAGTAAAAAAAAACTGCACGACGGCTTCAGGTCTGGAAATTACTACCAACTGGACCAGAAGTTTATATCAAGAAATAAAATAGAACTTTTTCACTTATTCCTCTGGAATAAGGGGGACAATATGGAATTTTGTTTTGTGTGCACTGCAAGGGAGATTTGTGTAAAAATAAATCATATTTTTAAAGTATGTTTAGTATATTTAAAGTTGAATTATTTCTTTATTTTAATTGTATTTATTATTTAAAAAAAAAAAAGATTCCAATGTATTTGATGTCCTGTCCCTCCAGGGCTTCTGTATGTACAGAAAGGAAGACGCGCACCAACACTTGCTGGTTGGCTCCTCCCGTTTTTTAGTTTTAATCAGGTAAATAATTGTTTTTACCAATTCAGACATTTTTGTATCTTGTCAATTTAAAAATAATCTAAAGTGAACACATGAATTATCAGAGCTGATTATTCATCAACTGGTTTATTGGTCTCATGACCTGCAGCCGTGACTACGGCAGCGTCATCCCAGACACGTGCAGAATGGCGTCTAATGTGTGACGTACTTTTAACCTGGCTCCTCAGATTAAAGCCAGTGACTGACATGAAGTCACTCTGCAGTGAAGAAGCAGGTCAGGATTACAGCGAGTGTGACTGCTGTGCTGATGAGACAGTCTGAGGATCATGAGCTCATGACCGACAGGTAACAGACAGTGCAGTCAGCAGCACACACACACACACACACACTCACTCCGTGTGTGTCCTCCATAACACACGGCAACAAATATTGAGAGATTTCAAAGCTTCACTCTCCCTTGTGTGAAGCCAGACATTCAGCATGGAGCCGCGAGTTGGTCCTCCCAGGGAATGAGAGGGGGAGAAAAGAGAAAAGAAAAAAAAAACCTTATCTGTGTCTGTTTCATGTCACAGACTAGAATATATTCTCCTGACTGAGGGAAGACAACGCAGGCGTGTTCTTCCCTTGATGTTTCCTGTACGGCCGTGTACACGCAGGAGAAAATGAAGAAGAAAAGAAGCATAAAGAGAGACATCAATAGAGAGCTGGAGCACATGTATGTAGGAGGGCTTCTATCTCATTCTTGGCCTGCCTCCATAGCTATTGGCTGTACAGTATAATTTCACCGCTCGCTCCATTCGACAGTGAAAACAGCGAGGAGCTGACTCATCTATTATTCCCTCTTTCTCCTCACTGTGTAAATGGATAAACCCTCTCTCCTCCTTTTTATCATCCCTGCCTCTCTGTCATTACTCAACCCTCTCCATCTTCTGCTTCCTCTCTCTCCCTCTCTCTCGTCATGGCAACCGTATCCTTTCGTGTAGTATTTGCTCCGCAGCACGCGGCGCATTCACATTGTCCTACAGTCACTTGCGCCCACATATCAACAGGCAGGCCGGCTGTACTGTACTGAACTGTACTGTACTGAAAAAGTCATTGTTATGCAACTTATGTGATGGTGCCTGCTGCTCTAGCGGTCTGTCCGTTCATCTATCTCTACACTTAATCCTTCACACGTCTGTTTGATGCTCAAAGGCAATCATTCCCTAGAGATTGGTTCAAGTTAGGGTTGGCAGAACTTTTGAGGACAGGAAATC